CGATGGCCCCAGAACCTGCAGAAAAGAGAGAACTGAAAGTGGACAGAAGCTCCTGGCAAACAAAGATGAGTCCCCAGAAACCACAGGATCCCAGGGCTCCTAGGGCATGGACAGCAGAGGCAGGAAGATCCCCAGGGGCTTACAGGCCCCAGCCTGGTGTGCACTGATGCATGATGGGAGAAAGCAAGAGAGACTCTGCTGCAAGCCAGGTAGAAAGGGCAGGGCTGATACTGAAGGTGCCCTCTGACCTCCATATATGTGTCATGACCCACTCATGCCAACATGAACACACACGAGCAAGTGCACAATACACATCGTACACACACACAATAAAAACATAAATGAATTAAAATACAAAATAAGTGAGAGCAGAAATGGTAAAGACATGGTCTGATTGGAGGGCCCCCAGGAGGCACTTGTCATGGGTGATTTGGATACAGAGTGTCCCCCCAAATCTCATCTGAATTACTGATGAGTGCCTGGAACATGAGGGCCTCAGACATTTAATCAGCAGATGAAGTCATTGGATTTATAGTTTGATGGCATTATTGAGAGATGACAGAAACTGTATGGGGGATGGGCCTAATGGAAGGAAGTGGGTCACTAGGCGTTTTTGAAGGTCGTTTTTCCATGTTCCCACTCTATCTTTTTCTGCCTCCCAGTCACTATGAGTAAGCAGCTCATCATGCCCCCTCTGCTTGATACTCTCAGCTCAGGCCCATACTGGTATAGCCAAGCCACCAGGACTGAGCCCTGAGCTCACATGAACCTTTTCCCCTTTGAGTTGATTTGTTTTCAGATGTCCTGGAACTGACTCCCATGTAGCTCAGGCTGGCCTGGAACTCCTGATTCTCCTCCTCTGTCTCCCAGGGGCTGGGGTTATAGGCATGTGCCACTAGGCAGCCTGAGTCCTCTTAACTGACCCAGCACAGCTCTCAACTTCTGTGGAACAGATCAACAAGACTCCCTCCCGTCTTTTTGATAATACACAATTCATGTGATTTCTGGGATAATTTTTTGTTTTTTTGTTTTTCGAGACAGGGTTTCTCTGTGTAGCTTTGGAGCCTATTCTGGCACTTGCTCTGGAGACCAGGCTGGCCTCGAACTCACAGAGATCTGCCTGCCTCTGCCTCCCGAGTGCTGGGATTAAAGGCATGCGCCACCAACACCCGGTGATTTCGGGGATAATTTTGAAAATATAAAAATAAGCCAAACATGGGAGAGAATGAGTCACTGGTCATCTGCACCTATACATTCATCTGTGCAGCTATGTGTGTGTGTACTGAAGTCTGTTCAGCTGGGCGGTGGTGGCGCACATCTTTAATCCCAGCACCTGGAAGGCAGAGACAGGTGGATCTCATTGAGTTCAAGGCCAACCTGCTCTACAGAGTGAGTTTCTGGACAGCCAGGACTGTTTCACAGATAAATCCTGTCTTGAAAAACATAAAAAAATAATAAAATAAAATAAAAAATAAAGCCTGTTCAGATTTTAGGAATTGGGACTGGATAGAGAGAAGGCCCAACAGTTAAGAGCACTGGTCACCCGGCAGCTCTTCCAAAGGACCCAGGTTTAATTTCCAGCACCATGTGACAGTTCACAACTGCCTGTAACTTCAGTTCCAGGGGATCTGCCATCCTCACACAGACATACATGCAGGCAAAACCCCAATGTACATAAAAATAATTAATTTTAAAAAAGACCAGTGGCTGCTCTTGCACAGGATCCAAGGTTAGTTCCCCACACAATGGCTGACAACCGTCTGTAACTCCAGTCCCTGGGTATTTGACACTCTCTTCTGACCTCCACAGGCACTACGCACACAGTGCACTGAACCCACATGAAGACAAACACTGATGCATATTTAAAAAATCAGATAAAAATAGATATAAAAGAATATATATGGCTCTCTTTCCATTCATTAAAATTCAAAGCCATACACAACTCATCAGCACATCAGTATTGGGGGCTCCTTTGGGAACAGGACCTTAGAGTCATTGGTGTTTGAAGGCGAGGATGTAATGATTTCACTAGGCCCAAGATAAGTGATAACTGGGTGCTTTTTGGGGAACAATTACACAGAAAAACACAAAGAACCATGGGAGTGTTTCTGTGTCTCTGTCCTTCCTCTGGAGGTATTCTATTTCCTGATATGGGTGTTGGTGACTCAAATGTGTGCACTCTTTAATGCCTTTACAAAGATTTGATAACTATAAAGAATAGATGACATAAGCCTGTATCCCCAGCTACTCTGGAGGCTGCATCAGGAGGATGGCAAGGTCCAGCCTAGCCTGGGCTACCTATGGAGACCTTGTCTCAAGGCAAACACGGAATCATTTCTATCTGGCTTTTAGTCATTCCCCTCCTGGGGCTCCCTCCAGGACTGTTTGAGACATATTGGGCTGCTTCCAAATGGACGCCTATCCCAGCAAGGATCAGAACAAAGGGGTATGTGTGTGCAGGGGGAGCTGGTGACAGACAAGATGGAGTATGTGGGAGCTGGTGACCCTGTCCTGAAATCACCCCCTCTGGGTTTCTATGGAAGGGTTGCATTCTACCTTCCGTCTAGCCACCTGAAGGCTCCAAAGCCTGAAGTTGTCCCCTTCCTCAGTGTAGAAACTGTACCTGCTACTGGGAACACCAAACCACATTCAGCGTGGACATGTCACCAACTGAAAAGGCTGAAGAAAGGGACCCTCACTCCTTAGACAACTATTTTGTCTTCTTTTCATATTTTACTGGTTAGTTTGTGTCAACCTGATACAAATGGATTGGCCTCTGGATCTGGGTCTGCAGGACATTTTCTCGATTAATGGTTGACGTGGTGGTCCTGGTTGTATCAGAAACCAGTCTGAGAAAGCCATGGGAGCAAGCCAGTAAGCGGCATTCCTCCATGGGAGCAAGCCAGTAAGCGGCATTCCTCCATGGTTTCTGCTTCAGTCCCTGCCTCCAGGAACTGTTTGGATTCCCCTGATGATGGGCTGTAAGATGTAATCTAAAATAAACCCCTACCTCCCCAGTTACTTTTAGTCATGGTGAACATGACAGCAATGGAGAAACAAACTAGTATACAGAGTCCCATGTAGCTCGAGTTGGCCTCAAACATTGTTATTAGATGAGGATAACCTTGAACTCCCTCCTTCCTGCTTCTACATCCCCAGAGATAGGATCACCTGTGAGCAACACCATACCCAGTTTATCCAGTGCTGGGAATCAAACCCAGGTCTTCATGCCTCTACCAGCTGAGATGCATCCTAGGCTTGACTTTCTGAAGAGAGAGCTGTCATCGACTTTTTTTTTTTTTTAATTCTGGGACCCCCTGGTTCTTGGAAAACATTTCTCAGGACTAACCCATTCCCTCCTTTATTCATTTGCCCATTAAGAAGTAGGTAGGAGGGACTGGAGAGAGATGGTTCACTGGCGTTCTTCTAGAGGACCCAGGTTCAAGTCCCAGAAGCTCACAACTGTCTGTAACTCCGGTTTCAGAGTACCCAACACCCTCATATAGACATGCAGGCAGGTAAAACACCAGTGTATATAAAAACAAAAGAAGTAGGTAGGATACTTTGCTGTTCAATGCTTTTGTTGTTGTAATCAAGGCAGTTCTCACTCTGGTTGGTCTTCAAACTCACAGAGATCCTCCTGCCTCTGCCTCCCCAGTGCTGGAATTAATGATGTATGCCACCTCGTGGAGTAAGTAGCTACTTTTCAAGGAGACCTATTTCAGTATCTTGAAAGAGATTCAAACTTCCATCGCTCCCTAGTCTCCAGGATTTGCTGGAGAGGAGAGGGAGCAGCAGTCTGAGGTCATATTGTTTGTCCCAGTGCTTGCTGGTAGTCAGTGTGCATCTACAGGAGCCAAGCCCCTCCCACGACTCCTTTCAGTCTTCACAACTACCTCCTGTGGGATATCCCCCATCTTACAGTTGAGGAAACCAAGGCCCGGGACAAAGAAAACATGCACAAGGATGGCAAGCAGAGGGACCAGGAAGTTGACCCTGAAGCTGGCCTTGGCAACCTTCCCCCCAAAGTCCACCTTACTCTTATACAGGAAGTCTTCTCCTCTGGTCATGTTCAGTGAGAAGACGGCATCCCCTAGAGTGGTGGCTGTGGTCATCTCGACTGCTGAGAACGAAGAAGAAATTTTGCTTAAAACCAGGGCTAGTCTTACCATGTCTATACGATGTCTCTTGCTCTTTGCCTGGATGGTTCTAGAATTCTCAAGCATGCAGGTTCTTTTGGCAGCAGGTGAAAATGAGGCCCTAGAAACTGTGTGTAAAAATAGTACCCCAGAATTGTTTGTTTTGATTTTTCAAGACAGGGTTTCTCTGTATTGCTTTGGAGCCTGTCCTGGAACGCACTCTGTAGACCAGGCTGGCCTGGAACTCACAGAGATCTACCTGCCTCTGTCTCCCAAGTGCTGGGACTAAAAGTGTGCACCACTACTACCTGGCGTCCCTTCCTTCCTTCCTTCCTTCCTTCCTTCCTTCCTTCTTTCCTTCCATTCTTCTCTTCCTCCTTCCATTCCCTTCCTCCCTCTCTCTTTCTCCTCCCTCCCTCTTTCCTTCTCCCTCCCTCCCTCCCTTCAGACAGGGTCTCATATAGCCCAGGCAGGCCCCTGTCTCCATACATAGCTGAGGATGACCTTGGACTCCATCTCCCTAGTGCTGGGCTTATAGGTGTGCACCACCATGCTTAGCAAAGAACTTAGAACTTGGTTTTTCTTTTTAGAATATTTTTATTTATTTTGTTTTATGGATTTGAGTATCTTTGCCTCATGTATGTATGTATGTTCATCACATGCATGCCTGGTGCAGGTGGCAGTCAGAAGAGGGCATCAGATATCCTGGAACTGGAGTTACAGACGGCGTGAGTCACCATTGTGTGCCAGGAACAGAACCAGGTTTTTCCTGTTCAAGACAGGGTTTCACTGTGTAGCTCTGGCTGTCCTGAAACTCACTCTGTAGACCAGGTTGGCCTCAAATTCACAGAGATTGGCCTGCCTCTGCCTCCCAGATGCTGGGATTAAAGACATGGGCCACCACTACTCTGCCAGAACCAGGTTTTCTTGAAGAGCAGCTGGTGCTCTAACCACTGGGCAACCTCTCCAGACTCAGAACTTGTTTTCTCAAAGCAGTTTTGTATTCATACCAGCTCTGCTGGATTCTGAGACAAGGACCTGCACACATTTTTGCACCAGCCCCTGCTCTCTACCATAAGCCTCCCCAAGAATCCCTGCCTCCACTCTCCTAGCCGTAATGGAAACAGGGACGGTTATCTGCCTGAGACATGAGGGAGGCCATCTGCACTCAGCTGGAGGTTCTGTCAGCTACAGCCATGAGAAGGCTCTTGGTGGCCCAGCCATGTTCATTTATAGGATAGGCACTGCCTTCACTTTCTCTGCCCCACTCCAAGTCCAGGGTCCTGCCTGCCGCCCTGGTTCTTATGATCTTCAGGACCTCTGATGGTTCAATGACCCCTCCATGAAACCTACAGGGCTCTGCCTGACCTCTGCTTGCATATTGGTCTTCTGACTTGGGCTTCTGGTCACCTGATCCCCTTAGACAGGCTGGGGTAGCCACATGCTTCCCAGCAGAAAGAACACATCCTCAAGCCAGACACCCTTCCCAAGAGACACCCACCCAGACTGAGTTAGGGATGCTATTTACTTCCTCCCTACTGCCACCATCAGTCAGAAAGCACAGCTAGTGTCTGTGACTTGGCTTAGCTTTACACACTCCCTGCCAGCCCTTGAAGATACAGCCATGTCTGGTTCTTTTTCAGATCTGTCCACCTCCCCAGATAAACCACTGTCTCCCCTTTGTCAGTGAGAGGACTGTAGGAAGGGACAGAATTCCTCCCAGGTTTTTGCTTGTCTGTGAAATAAAGGGCCCTGTCCTAAGGGAACTGAGGGCTAGGGGTGTGAATAGTACTTTTGGTTTTTTGAGACAGTGTCTGGCCTCTGAACTCACCATGAGCATGAACTGACTCTCCTGCCCCTGTGTCTCCATGACTAGGATTATAGGTGTGTGGCCATCACACCTGGTTTACATGGTGCTGAGGATTGAACCTAGGACTTCATGCTTGCTAGGCAAGCACTGAGCCAACTGAGTGATATCTTAAGTCTAGAAAGTGCTATCAAGAGTTCAATGAGCCGGGCGTTGGTGGTGCATGCCTTTAATCCCAGCAGAGGCAGGCGGATCTCTGTGAGTTCAGGGCCAGCCTGGTCTCCAGAGCGAGTGCCAAGATAGGCTCCAAAACAATACAGAGAAACTCTGTCTCGAAAAACAAACAAACAAAAGAAGAGTTCAATGACTTCAGGATGATGGTGGCGAATGCCTTTAATTCCAGCACTTGGGAGGCAGAGAGAGAGGCAGGTGGATCTCTGAGAGTTCGAGGCCAGCCTGGTCTACCGAGTGAGTTCCAGATAGGCTCCAAAGCAATACAGAGAAACCCTGTCTTGAAAAAAACAAAAACAAAAACCAACAACAACAACAAAAAAGAGTTCAGTGACTACCCTCTCTGAGGAGCAGGTGGGAGGTGGAGAGGTGAGGGGGGGAGCGACATGAGAGGAGGGAGGGGGAACTGGGATTGGAATGTAAAAAATAAATTAATAAAAAATGTAAAAAAAAACATAAAAAAAAGAGTTCAATGATCCTGGAATAGTGGTGATGCCTGTAATCCTAGTACCAGAGAGATGCAGGCAGGAGCATCAGGATTTCAAGGCTATCCTTGGCTACAAAGGGAGTTGAAGCTATCCCAGAATAAGTGAGATACTACCTAAAAAACAAAGGGCCAAGGATGAGAATTTGGGATGAGGTCTCCCTGTCTCCCTGCTGTGTTCTTGAGCAAGGACCCTTGCCTCTCCCATCACAGCAAGACAAAGGGACTCAGATGTGTTTGCCCAAACCTGTTTCTAGCCCTACTGCTTCTGATGCAAGATGCCACAGGAAACAGGGTTCCCTTCCCATGGCTTCCAATGAGGACCCTGAGGCTCAGGGCCCTGAGGTTCCTGCTTGTGTTCATTTAGCACAAAAGCTGCAGAGCAGCTCATGAACCTGACCTTGCCAACTGCAAAGCCTGCATCCTTCCCGCCTTCTCACCTGCCCTGAGATGCAGCTGGCAGGGGTCCTGACCAGTCACGGCAGAAATACACAGATGCACACATACACATGCCCACTCATGCCCTCATACTCAATCCCCCCCACTCCCACAGAGTCTCACATACACACACACATATGCTCCAAGCACACATAAACACACACACACACCCTGTCTATTCACATCAGCACACACACACCCACACAAACACACACACAACCACACACACACACACACACACACACACACACACACACACACACACACACACACACACCTACCCTCACTTCCAGTTCTTTAACACACACACACACACACACACACACACACACACACACACACTGACCAGTGAGCAGCCTCCTAAGGACACAGGACACAGTTCTCCTCCTCTGGTCCTCAGGTCTGTCTGAGTCCACCTCCTGGGTGCTGGGTTTTAGGTGCCAGCGGGCCAGTCACTCCCTTTTCAAGAACAGTGTGCAATCCCAGAGCCGATCTTGCCTCATGCCAGCAGTGAGGGCTCTCAATGACATCTCTGTTCCTGCCACATTAGAGAAGGTGGGAGGCGGGCGGGGAATATCAACAGCCAAGGATGTGGATGTTTTCATGTGTGGGGGCCCCAGCAGCTTCAGCTAACCAAGTCAGGCCCAAGACAGGGCACTGAGCACTGAGTGTGCCTGTGGCTGAGGGATGTCAGGACCCTCTAGGGAGGGCAGGGCTGTTTTTCAGAGTGAGACTAATTCACAACCACAGTTGTGAGCATGGCCCTCCTGCTTGACAGGCGAGGCCCGGGTCCACCTTGGCTTTGTTCTGGGAAGGGGTGTGTGGTCACTGCGCCCACTGTACTTAAGAGGCACAGGACCCCCACCTAATGTAGCCTCTAACAAAAGCTCCACTAGGCTGTAGGCAGCGTGTGTGTGTGTGGGGGGGGACGGACTGCACAGCCCCACCTTAGACTGCTTCCCAGAAAACACACACAGAAGAGATGGCCTGCATCAGTGTTGGGATTTGACAGAAGGTTCTGCCCAAGGCTGTGACCCTGCCTCCTACTATGTGCTGCCCTTGGTCACACTGGGGGCCTCTAGCTCAGCCTAGCTTTAGTCACACTCACAGAGCCCACTATTGCTCCCCTGCATGATTAACAAACCGTCCTGGGTGGAAGCTGGGCTAGGAAGTGTCGGAGGTCAGGATCAGTTACTTGCAAATCCATGTCTGACTCTCCTGGGGGTGTAAGAGCTCTTATCAGGAAGAATCTGCCCTCTGACACCTCAATACAACACCTCCCCTCTTTCTCTGCAGTGCTTCCGAGCTCCTCCCTGGATAAGACAAGCAAACAAATTCCCAGCGGAAAAAGCCACAAATAAGCAAACGTGGCCCAGAGTTACCATAACCCATGGAAGCCATTCATCTTCCATGGGGCTGGGACATAGCCCGGTAGGGAACGTTCTTGCCTAACATGTGTGAAGCAGCCTTGTGTTTAATTCCCAGCACTGTATAAACAGTGTGCACACCTGGAAGACGGAAGCAAGAGAATGGGAAATTAAAGATCAGCATTGGCAACGTGTGAGTTTGAGTATGGCCTGCGCTACAAGAGAACCCTGCCTCAAAAATTAAAAAAAACAAAATTTAAAAATGAAATAGGGGCTGGCCAGATGGCACCACTGCCAAGTCTGATGGTCTGAGTTCAATCCCTGGGACCCACATAATAGAAGGAGAGAAGCAACTTCTAGAAGTTGTCCTCTACTCTCTCTCTCCACATGCACCATCATGCATACACACAAAATAAATATTTAATTAAAAATTGAATGGAATTGTGGGGCCTTGGTAGCGCATGCCTTTAATACCAGCACTTAGGAGGCAGAGGCAGGTGGATCTCTGTGAGTTCGAGGCCAGCCTGGTCTCCAGAGCGAGTGCCAGGATAGGCTCCAAAGCTACACAGAGAAACCCTGTCTCGAAAAACCAAAAAGAAAAAAAAAAAAAAAAAAAAAAGAAAAAAGAAAAAAATTAAATGAAATTAAA